TCCCCCCCCACCACCAAAGTTGTAAAGTTCGTTTTTCAACATAACGTCTTATGCATCTCATTGTTGCGATGGGTCCACCTGGATCCCTATTTAAACATTTGTTTTTTCCCTTCCCCTCCACAAATTATACCAACATCAAATACAGTGAAAACAGGGGTTATACCGTGGGGGAGGGACATACAAAGCAACAAAGAAAAAACGATGGTTAGATGCCACGAAGTAGGTGGCAATGCCTTAACTGTATGCATGTTGTCAGGCCCTAGGGCCTCTTCCACCCTTGTCAAGGGGAGAGCTGACTTTCATACAACACATTTCTATTTCTATTTCTTATTGCAGTTACTTGATTAATCTTTTGGGTTTTTTTTGTTGCTGAGAGTGAACTCAGTGTTTCCACACATGCATTGAGTATAACAACATCCCTTTTTGAACTTATTTTGCACTAATTAAGATAGTGTTTAGCAGGGAAATGACCCAATAGATGAGGAAATTATCAGATATTATTAGAACTGATTTTCCTTTGAAGTTGCTATCTAGATTTAGCAGCAATGACAACAAAGTCTGGTAAATGCTGTTTTTGTTTTGTTTTTTGCAATCCTTAGTCTACTACCATTACACACACACACACACACACACACACACACGTGTATATGTACCACTGAAGTCTATTCCATTCTTAAAGTAAATCTCAGAGAGGTTAAACAATTTGTCCAAGATCATCACACAGTTGAAAAGGTGAAGCTGAACTCACGACAGGGATATCTCATCTACCATTACCTCTATAGGTGGTTGTGGGACTTGAACTCTGGGCTTTAGCGCTGTCCTTCAGGTATTCAGCTCAAGCATTTCTGGCTTTTTGTGTTTATTGGTGCTGGGTTGTCAAACCAGTTTGTTATACTCCAAGGTCCTAAGGATCTTGATTTTTTTTTTTCCCCTCTACTTCTCTCCCCTTATTCTTATCCTCCCCTCTCCTTCCGTTCCTGCCCATCTATATTTTCTGTTATTGAGAAAGGGTAATTCCTGTCATTTTATCTTCCAGTTCATAGATTCTTCTGTCTCCTCCATTTGCTGGCAAGCCCATCCACTGAATTCTCTAGTTTGGTTGTTGTGTATTTCCTTTCCAAAATATCTTCTTTTTTCTTTTGAAATTTTCTGTCTTTGCTTTCTATTTTTCCCCATTTATTTCATAATTGTCTGTTGAAGCATTTTTATGGTGTTTTATGGTATTTTTGGTGTATTAGAGTTTGAGCTCAGGGCCTAGCTAGGCTGGTGCTCTATCACTTGAACCATTGTTCCAGCCATGCTGCTTATTTGAGGATGGAGTCTAACCAACTTTTCTGAACAGCCTGGCTTGAACTATGATCCTTCAGATCTCAGCCTCTTGAATAGCTGGGATTATAGACATGAGCTACCAGTGCTGGGTAAAATGTTTTTTAAAATAATTCTAACATTTCTGCCATTTCATTGTTGACATCTCTTTATTATTTAGTTCTTAATTTAATTTGGCATTCTCTGTTCTTGCACTTGGCCTGGCTTTTACAAGGCCCTTGGGATTCAACACCCCCGCTAAGGCTAATAATAGTATTATGAAAAGAACTGAATATATAATAAGATATATACAGATAAGATTATTTTCATTAGCTGGGCTCTGATGGCTCATGTCTGTAATCCTAGCTATGCAGGAGGCTGAGCTCTGAGGATCTCTGAAGCCATCTAGGACAGGAAAGTCCCCATGAGACTAATATCCAATTAATCACCAGAAAACTGAAAGTGGCACTGTGGCTTAAAGAGATATAGGGTTAGCCTTGAGCAAAAAAGCTCAAGGACTGTGCTTGGGCCCTGAGTTCAAGCCCCAGTATTGACAACAACAACAATCAATTACTCACATTTAATAATTTGTGTATATGGAATCCAAATTTTGAAGACCTCATCTCTCCTGCCCATTTAAAAATATAGACTTGCAGGTACTGATGGCTCATGCCTGTAATCCTAGCTACTCAGGAGATTGAGATCTGAGGATCAAGGTTCAAAGCCAGCCCAAGCAGGAAAGTCTGTGAGACTCTTACCTCCAATAAACCACCAGAAAACTGGAAGTGGAACTGTGGCTCAAGTGGTAGAGCGCTTGCCTTGAACTGAAGAGCTGAGGGACAGCGCCCAGGCCCAGAGGAAGTCCCACGACAGACCAAAAAAACCCCTCAAAACTATATATCTATAGCTATAGCCATAGATATAGATAGACTAAAAGGATATGAACTGGGAATGTGGCTCAAATCATAAAGTGTTCTGCCTAGCAAATGCAGGGTCTGAATTCAAACTGTAGCAAAAAAAAAAAAAAATTTAGACCTTGGGGCTGGGAAGGTGGCTCAGTGGTAGAGTGCTTGCCTTGCATGCATGAGGCTCTGGGTTCAATTCCTCAGCACCACATACGCAGAAAAAGCCAGAAGTGGCGCTGTGACTCAAGTGGTAGAGCGCTAGCTTTGAGCTGAAGAGCTGAGGGACAGCGCCCAGGCCCAGAGTTCAGGCCCCATGACCGACAGAATAAACAAACAAAAATCTAGGCCATTCAGGAGTCGCTCTCTATTTAAAGTACTCTAGGCCACTCAGTCGTTTCTCACTATCAAAGAAACTTATCGCCCACTTTGGGGATAACTGAAAGCTAGTGCTTATGAAAAAGGGTTTTAAGATAGACTTGCAAGTTTATTCTTTTAATTTTTTTTATTATCTTTAAGTGGTTGTACAAGGAAGTTCCCATTCTACAAACAATATATGAATACAAAGTGTCTGACAACATTGTCACCCATTGCTCCTGACGCACCCCTTTTCTCACTTTTCTTCTTTTGCAAGTTTATTCTAATAAAAAGATTTAGGTGCTTTTGTTTTGTTTTTAAAGACATGATCTAGACTATGTTGCCCAAACTCCTGGGTTGAATTGATTTTCATATCTTAGCTTACTACAGGTGTGTGGCACCCTGCGTGGCTAAAAAGGCTTTTTACAATAAGAAAAAATAATGTAGGTGACAATTGTCCAGAAGAAATGTACTCATAACCTGATTTATGCAAATGTAACTCCTCTGTACATCACCTTTATAACAACAAAAACATAAAAAAAGGAATAATGTAGATTGAAAATAAACTGTAGCTGGGTACCAATGGCTCACAACTGTAATACTACCTACTCAGGAGGCTGAGATCTGAAGACTGTGGTTCAAAGCCAGCCCAGGCAGGAAAGTCTGTGAGAGGTTCAACTTCCATAAATTATCTCCCAAAAGCTAGAAGTAGAGCTGTGGCTCAAATAGTAGAGCATTAGCCTTGAGCAAAAAATGCTTAGGAGGCTGTGTGTAGCTCAGTGACAAAGTGCTTGCCTAGTAGGTGCAATGCTGCAGGTTCTATCCCCAGTACAAAAACAAACAAACAAAAAAACAAGTCAGGGACAGTGCCTAGGCCTTGAGTTTAGGTCCTAGGACTAGCACACAACACATACACACAAAAACAAAAAAAGAAAATATGCTTATACAAAATTTTAAAATTAAAAGTAATGAGCATATTCATGAATTTTCATTTAATTAAATGCTCTCTCTCTCTCTTTCTCTCTCTCTCTCTCTGTTGGTTGTGGTGCTTGAACTCGGCTTGGGCACTGTCCCTCAGCTCTTCAGCTCAAGGCAACTGCTCTACTGCTTGAGTTACAGCACCACTTCCGGTTTTCTGGTGGTTTATTGGAGATAAGAGTCTCATGGAGTTTTCTGCCCGGGCTGGCTTTAAACCATAATCCAACCACAATCCTCAGATGTAGCTAGAATTACAGGCGTGAGCCACCAGAATCTTCTCTCTTCTTAATGAGCACTGGCAGAATAATAGAAGAGGCTCTGGGACTGGGAAGGTGGCTCAGTGGTAGAGCGCTTGCCTTGCATGCACCCTGGATTCGATTCCTCAGCACCACATAAGCAAAAAGAAAAAAGCCAGAAGTGGTGCTGTGGCTCAAGTGGTAGACCACTAGCCTTGAGCTGAAGAGCTCAGGGACAGCGCCCAGGCCCAGAGTTCAGGCCCCATGACTGGCAAAAAAAAAAAAAAAAGAAAACCAGATGGTCCTTTGAGTGGTTCTTACTGGTCCACTCCTGGGTCCAGGCCTTTCTGGAACTTCCAGACAGCAATG